GTTAAATTTTAGTTGAATTGGAGGTTTGCTTGAGATCATTGTTTTAAAGTATCCTTTTTATAATGGCATGTTTCTTACATTTTTCTTTCAAGATATTAAGTATTCCTTCTGCAGACAGCTGAATATAGTACATGACCCACCTAAGTGCTTGATCAAGGAGACGGTATTTTACTCGTCAAAAGCCTGTTTTATTTATTTAGTTTTTTTTTTTTTTTTTTTTTTGACATACCAGATATCTGTATATCTATTCATAAAGCATGGAACACATATGTAAATGGTCCGGACAGTTTCGCAATGCTCCCATCACCAGCACCCAACACATACGCTTACACATTAAAACCCCAGCATTTCCCTGGTCTCACTGGATTTGTCCCATGATACAAGCTAAAAAGTTTTAGACACCCGGATTTATTGCTTTCTCATTGGCTTTGGTACCTGGGCATGAAAAAAAGTCTGCTATCAAATATTTGTTGTTCTGACGTTAAAGCCAAAAACTGCCCAGATTTATTTCCTCTAAATTCATTATACTTAACACAATACTTTACTAATGGAATAAAAACATTTTTGATAAGAAACATCAACCTCACCCCTGCACTAAATATTCTCAAAGTGTCTCATTATTCTACTTGAAGCCCAATGAAAATACGTGTTCAAAATATCCATCCCTAATATAGGCCTACATCAAGTTATCAAGTTTCCTGTTGGTAATAGTATATCTTAGATGTATATCAATACATCCAAGGCGGAGTAGGTGGAGTAGCAGATCTTTGTTACCTTAACTTTCATTGCCATTGAGCCAAAAAACATATTTTACAGCATTTTAATGCTGATAAATTGTATTTCTAATGAAGTAACAGTCTCAATCAGCGCCAGTGTCTAGCATTTCTATTGGAAACGTTTTGTTTACATGCATGACACTTTCAGATGCATTTTAGATATAGTATTTAGAGTAATTGGTATACGCTTTCATAGAAAGTATTAAATAATTAAATGTTATTAATATATATTATACATTCTGTTTGTTTTTCATTTTTGTTTGATGATCAAAGAGAAGGCTGTTGGCCTGACCAGTTCCATGGTCCTTGCATCATATAGCATCATATATGTCCAAACATTTCAGATTTCATTAGTCCATGGAATGTTCTCGTTAACTTGTTAGTCTTATCAAATATCCTACAGGCATATTCTAATTCTAGTTTATCTGAGATTTTTTTTTTAAGTAAGAGCATCTTTGAGTCCTTATTTGGCCATTCAATTCCTAAATTCACATAGTAAGCAATAGATTCTTAAAATCTAGGTAAAATATTTCTGTTTTGCAGCTCTAAACACAAAAGAGTATGAGCAGTTGTTTGATAATCATTTAAAAAATAGTGAAACATAATTTTTTTTAATAGCACCAATGTATGTCTCTACTTTTTCTCCATTGGTTGTTTTTTGTAATTAGATTTAAAAAAAGATTTCTTTTTTTTTTTCTTGAATAAATATTTTATAAAGTAACAAAAAAGTCACTGGCAGCATTTCAAATGTATAAAAGATAAATAGCAATACAGACCCTACTTTTAATTCCCATCATCCCACCATTATAAAAAATAACTGTGTTCCAATTATGATTAATATCACATTTTACACGTTCCACATAGGACAAAGCAACAGTGAATTATGCTTGTGTCTGGAACTTATTAAAATAAATGATCCATGTTCAAAGCATTTATTTTAATTGGAGTCCCTCTATAGAGACACTTGTTAGAGCATGTCTGATGGGTTGCACTTTAATTTACTGTCTATGAAAGATTTTGCAAAAACCTTTTCTGTGTGTCATACCCTTCACCTCCTCTGTAGTGCAAAAGCACAGGAAAGAATAGGTGAGACAAAATAATTTGAACCAAACAAATAAATACGATGCTCTAAAAATTACGTTATCTCATGAATATCAGAGATGAGAAGCTTAGCTATGAATTCAAGGATTATTAAAACACAGATTATGATAAATGAAGTGGGATTCTTTTGATCACACATTTAACCTATTGTAGCTCATTACACCACAGAGACATCAGGATATGATGAGCAGAAGATCTTGGTTCTCTGTGTCTGGTTGATTTGCGTCTTTTTCCACAACATGATTACATTTCTTATTCTCAATTTTGGTCATCTCCTACCTATCTGACCACCAAATTACACTTTTCGCGATCTAAAGTACTTCAAGTAGATGATGTCGGTGAGATTCCTAGATGACGATTATGTAATAAACTACCACTTTTGCAAATCTGCATCCATTTATTCTTGAATTTCTAGAGAGGAGGAATGAAAGGCAAATTGTTAATTACCAAGTAACCTTTTATATATGCTAGTAAACCCAAAAGTTAAACCTGATTAATATTGCTATAAGTTCAAACAAGTTCTACAGGGAGTTCCTTTTACAGACAGTGAGATATGTCAGTCGAATAATAATCCTTCCAAATACCCATGAATTACTGATAACAGTAGGCCCATTCTTTTCCATTTTATAAATACACCTATTCAAAGCTTATTGCTGACAAGAGGAAGCTATATGCAGCATGTGTCACACTAGAAACTATGTACAGTGAGTTTAGGAAATGTTCCTGCTTGTTCAAGGAGACAAATATTTTTGTCAGGTTTGGAATCCTATTACAATAGATGCAGAAATTTAAAGATAACATTCCATCATGACAATGGTAGTTTGATAGTCAGTGCACTGCCTTGACTTGGCAGGATCTAGAAAAATTGCCAAAATTGATCAGACGATAATTACCCTCTATCAGAGACATGTAACCCTATCAGTCTTTGACCTTATGTTCGACTGCACTGAGTTAATGCAGCAGGACAATGATCCAAAGAACAATAGTAAATGGCATAAAAATATACCCACATACTGTTTTTGTTTGTTTTTTCTATTTTTTACAGACAATCCGTATCATGAGTGTGTGGGACTCTCTAAAAGATATGGATGATGTTTCACTTAGCTATGTACTAACAAAATATTTTTACATGTAAAGGTTGGCCTAATACTAAGTACAAATGTTATCTTTAGACACAGTGAATGTGTCAATTTAAAATGATTAACAATATAGGTACTACGGAAATTGACACAATTTTTAACAGTAGCAGGAATTATAAAACAATAATAATAATAATTATTAATACTATTATAATAAAAAAAACTTCAGTTATATGCAACTTAAGCCTCTTCTACACTGAAAGGATCTGGTTAACATGGGGTTTTCAGACACGGGTTGAACCGTTAACAATTGGCATTTGGCTCCCTGCCCATTGGCCAAAAAAGCTGAGACTGACCCCCCACTAGAAACCTGCATAGCCTCTGTCCCCCCACTGCTGTGAGTCTGATGATGCCACCAAGCTGGGTTAGATGATGTTATCAGTGCAACAGAAATCAAGAAACATGGAAGGAAGCCAGCGCGTAGTCAGTGTGCTTTACTGTTTCATTCTTTTATACCTCCAAATCCCTCTCACCAGTCCTGCAACATGTTTTTGACTGGTGCGGTGTGTTGACTTCATCTAATTACCATGATCCTCTCATGATCTTCCTGCTGCTATTTATACCTCCAGTTCCCAGCCATTGGTGCCAGATTATTCAAGCTCCTAGCGAGCCTAATTCTAGCGTTCCTGTTTGTATCATGTTCTGCCTTTTCCTGACCTGTTTCTGCCCTCTGACTTTTGGCCGTCCCTGTTTGCTCTCTTTGCCTGTCCTGGGTTTCCGGGCTGTTACCTGTCTTCTGACCATGACTTGGATTATTCTCCTGGGTCCTATTCATACACTGGCTGCTGTAAGATGCTGCTCCTCCTCCCTCCTGGATTTCTTGCCCCGGCTCAGTAACGAACAATAGAGTTGCGCTCCTCTGGACAATGCTCCTTCTTCCGAGCACAGACTGAACTTTGCCAGGTTGGTGACTTTCATGCATATTGATGTTCCTCGTTTGAGTTTTGAGGTCATCGACCTTAGCCTCTACTGCAGAGTTTCCAGCCGTACCAGACAAGCAGCCGCATGCTTCGTTGAATAAACGCCCTTTAATTATATCACTTTCTGTCTTGCCTGAATTGTGGGTCCAATGTTCTGAGCCTTCTGACACTTCCGTATGTCGTGCTTAACGGTATCACGTAAATTAGTAGATCAACCCATGTCTAATGTTCCCACTGTATGCCGATTGGAACCCAGCTATTTGAACGTGCTTTTAACGCGGGTCGCTTGCCAAGTCATTTTTGGCCAGTGGGAAAGGGGTATAAGTCTCGCAAAAAGTAAGTCCTATAGATAAGGGTTCGTGCACACTTTCTAAGAATCTAATTCATCTAAAATGTTGTGCATATTTGAGGATATGTTAAATGCCATGAACTTTTATGTCAGACATGGCTACGAAATCAGGAAAAATGTCATTAATATACACACATATATTAACATACAGGTTAAAGAAAGAGTAATTAAATCATTTAAAATGTATTTAACATTCTATCATATATTTTTTTAACATTTTTTCATCTATTATGTCAGTGATGACGTAATTTAAATCAATAAAACCAATAACGTTCTAAGCTAATCAAATAGTAATCTAAGATTACTCAACATTAAATAACAAATAGCACACAAATAACTTGTTTAAATAAGATGGTAACATTTAAAGAAAATGTATTCAACTTTGCATTTTTCCAAACTGAAACCAGTCAAAGGATTTTTCTTTCAGGTACTATATAAACTTTTCAAACTGCATCAAATAATTGCAGACATATATTTAAATAATTAATGTCCAGTTTATCCAAATAAAAGCTTGGGAGACATTTAGGAAGCCAAAAAACCCCATGACTATATTAAAGGTTTTTGAGAAACTCACAATGTTTGGAATCAGAAAAATGAGGTGTGGGTTAAACCTGTGACTAAGTTATGCCTTTATGCCTGTTAAAACACATGCAAGGTCCACCACCCCTCTCACCAGTAACATTTGCGCTTCAAAAAAGCTGTAGGACATTCCTACCTTCTTGTACAGCCTGGAAAGGGTTGTTCCCATCGACAAATTCCACAGAGAAGGTTATCTTTTCTGTCTCCAAGATCTCATTGTTTAGGTTCAGGTCTGCCACGGCAAGACGAAAAACCTCGTCATCTTTCCGTGCCGACTCATCAAATATGGCACCTGCAGAGAGAGGTTAGAAAAAACATTAAACAGGACCTTGGAATAACAGAGAAGAGGCTGAAACTTCATTGTAATTATAGATGGTTTGCAAGACATTTTACTGAGGGTGCATGGGTTTTCCAGGAAGACTATGATTCACCAGGTGAATTCTGAGTTTAAAAAGAAATGTAGTTTACATGCATCTTTACAATATCCATAGTAATACCAACTTAATTCGTACAGTGTCAGTATGACAATACTGAAAAAAATCAGATAATTTGCTTTTCCATGATAGTGAAGGACCAGTAACTATAATTTCTCTGAAATTGAGGGTTTCTGCATGTTTTTAGATTACAAGATGCTAATTCCAATAAGGAAACACCTACAGACTGTTTTAAAACACATGCGTATAGAAGCAGGCCAGTTGACAGCTGCAACCCTATTGAGTATTTGATAAGGTCACCCCTAAATATGCAAATATATAGAAGCTAACAGAGACGAGGCTGGCGTAAACAGATGCCATTAGGCCCTCTGACCACCATCAGTAGACAATGCAGGTAAAGTGTCTTTTCCCACAAGGACACAACAACGTTGAATGCAGAAGTTGGGGTTTTAATCGATGACCCTTCAGTTGCAAAGCAAACTCTTGCATCGGACACCTTTGTCCCCCTATACAGTAGAGTGTACAATTTTGCAGTGCCTAAAAGAAGGTGTGAAATCATCGCTTTGCAAAAAGTACTGGGCATAAAGGCAACCTGGAATGTAAATCCTTTTTGCTGCTACTTTTTAAGGGTGCCACAGTAAGGCATTACAACTTAAACACAGACTTGAACACATCTGTGATTCATCCCCCTTATCGAAGATACAGACTTAATTAGAAACCCTACAGGAGGAGAGTTAAAGTATTCTCTTTCAGTGGCATGACTTAGACATTCAATTTTAGAATACGTAAACAACATTAAACAGTGTAAAATATTTAAACTCTATCCATCAGAGATTATTAAATTAGTATATTGCTTTCAGTCTTCCAATTCAATGACAAAGACCCCATAATAGACAATTTTCAAACTTTCTTTTTAAACACTAAATTCCATAGGTTGATAGTTTGTAACAGTCTTCTATCTTCCTTTTCAGGACTTTCGAAATATAAATTCTCTACCAGAGATAAAGTCTTGGTTAGTATTACACTCATGCAGTATAAATGAGGAGAGAAAAAAGTGCTGGAAAAAGGCAATTGAAGCAAACACAAAGACATTAACTATTCCATTATAGTTAAATAATGAATGGAGTAGAAAATCTGTTTGAGGATGATACTGTTGGGGAACAATTCTTGTACTGTTTAAATGTGACAAATGAAACAGAGGACAGCCTTAGTTTTAATGTCTAGGGGTCAAAACCATGGGCAAAATATGGCAAAAATTGTCATTCTAGTCATTGTTTTAAGTTGTACTTTTTTGCCTTAATTCAGTTATTTGCATTGTTTTAGTTTGGTGTTAAACCTGAATATAGAGTTTGTAGAGATGATACAGAGAATTTTAATTTTTTTTAGAGTAGCAGGAGAAGAGAAAAAGGCTTTTGTAATCTTAGTTTGTGCGATAATGTTGCCATGGTAACATCCTCTCAGACTTATGTTAAAAGCTACTCAGTGATGTACACCTATTTCTTTGTAAATGGCTGATAGCTTTGTGTGTTCTCATCGAATATCATACCAGCAACAAATATGTAAATCAAAAGAGTGCAACAGTCACAATGTAGCTAGAGAACTAAGTAAAATTCAATTTTAGAGATGATCAGTCATATTTATCCTTTCTTCTTTTTCTTTAGTTCTCTTTTATCTACCTATGTTTCATCTTTTCCAGCAGAGTAGGTCTCATTAGTAAAAGATCACTGTGCTGACAGAGCCAAACATGAAATGAAAACTTTCATGAATGAGTTAAATCAGACGTATGTGCAATTTCAAGGGCAACAGTGCCAAAGTTATAATACTATTTTTTTATATGTGATAAATGTGTTTCTAAGAGTATGACTGACTTGAGATGAAAATTAAAAGCTTTATTGACCAATACAAATCAGAAACATACAAATGTAATATAAGCATCTAAATGGAAAATAAAGAACAACAATCCTTGTCATAACTGTACTAAGGGGGTTATTTTGTGTCTTCTTTTTTAGGGCCTTATACACATGCTGATTTACAAACAAAGACACATTGAAATATGTACTCATGCAAACAAAAGACAGATATTACAACAGCCATCAGACAGGAAAATAAAAGTACTGAATCTTGCTTCAGTCACCCGAAGGGCAGCTGCACGCAACCCCCTCCTCCCTTTCCCAACCACGCACTAAAGTATAAATATACATAGCCCATGTGTGTGCAGACACCAAATCATCAACCCTTTTCCTAACAGCCACTTCCATGACAACTGGCATCACCAACAACAGCGGTAAGACTGAACAGATGAGATATCCAAAAGCTGAGACCCCAAATAATTTGGTCATGACACTTCAATCTATTGTCTATCTGGAGTCAAGTATTTTGCATTAATTTTGTTGTTTGTTTACTCTAACAAAAAAGCTAATAATTATTTGTTTATATATAATTATTGCCTAGTAGTCCCTTAGTTTAGATTTAAAAAAAGAAAAATTATAAAGTAAATGTTCTGTCACTGTTTATTTAAGTAATTAATCTGCCACCATTATTTAAATTTCGTTTTTATTCTATTCCCGATACTGTGCCTTTGAGTCACAGCCATGCTCCCCTTTAAGGCCAGCATTTTCCATTTAGGAAAGTTTATCGTTTCCTCTTCACACATCTTAAACATTCTAATGTTTATTCCAAATAAAAAAATTTATAATTAATACATCTAAAATATATATCCTTTAACAAAAGCAGTGAAAAACTAGTGTGTCAAAGGTCCAGTGTTCACGTAAACTTCAACATCAAAAGAGGCAATTAATGATAAATAAGAATAGAACTGAGGTTCTCTATGAAAGATATAATACACTGACTGGACTGGACTTGGCAGGCCCAAGAGAGAAGTAAGGGCCTGCTGGAAATGTCTGGCATTGCCCTTGGTGAGGGAGGTATTCAACTCCCACCTCCCCTAGGAGAAGGAAGCAGTGCTTAGCTAACACCATTTATATTGGGAGTGGGGAGCTGCTAACCTTGAATGATGACATTGTCGGACAGTGGAAGGCTTACTATGAGGATCTCTGCAACATTTCTTCCATGGTGGAAGAGAAATTGGGTGCTCAGGGCCGGATTCATTCACCACCCAGACTGAAGTCACAGAGGTGTTCAAAAAAACTCCATGAATGAGATCTATCCTGAGTATCTTAGGTGTCTGGATGTTGCTGGCCTGTATTAGCTGACACACCGCTCCAACATTGCATGGAGGTTGAGGATAGTGCTCCTAGACTGGCAGATTGGAGTGGTCATTCCCTTCCATAAGGAAGAGAACCACAGGGTACAGACCTAGAATAGGGGGATCACACATTTAACTGTGCCCCCCATGGTGCCATGTTGGGTGTGCTCCAGGGGTACAGAGTGAGGGCAATATACTAGGGGCCACCTAGTCTTTGCACTTGTAGAAAACGAGTTTGGTTTGCATTGCTGGCATTAAGTCAGACCTGTTCCCAATTCATGTTGGACTCCAGCAGGGCTGCTTCTCCTGCTAGAGAATTGAGTGGCAGATCAATATATCGATCTGTGTGGCTGCAGCTAAAGAGTTGACACACAGTCTGTTGAGCTGAGCAAAAAAGGCAAAACTGTCGACTTACTGGTCAGTCTACATTCCTATCCTTAACTATGGCAGTGAAATCTGAATCATGACTGAAAGAAACGAGAATCTGGGTACTGCCTCAGAGAGGCTCTACTCCGAGCCTCTCTACGGGAGTCTCTTCCACATCGGAGGAGTCGGCTCTTTTGCCTGGACACCTCCATCAGGAGGTTTTCCAGGCCCATCCTACTCGGAGGAGTCCATGAAGATGACCCAGGGCACACTGGAGTGTCTGGAGCACCTGTGCTTTCCCCAGCAGAGCTGGACAAAGTGTCTGGATAGAGGGAAGTCTGGGAGTCTGTGTTGACTGCTGCCCTCATGAACCAGTCCTTGCTATATGGAAGATTACGAAGATAAGTGGGCCACACCATATCTAACTTTTACTTAAATGGCTTAAAGCTGAAAGACAAATTCCTATGTCTTAGAGACTGAAGAATAACGTCTGCACTGTAATACTTACAACTTAAATACATGTAAATAATTATGTTAGTTTTAGAAAAAAGTTTTAAAGAAAAAGGACAGAGCATACCTGCCTTTTTTAAAGTAGGTCTGCATTATTCAACAAGTAAGATTGTGAATTTCCTACTTTCAGCACCCTGTGACTTTCAACACGACCAACAGGCGGAATGTATTATTAGCAGGGGTGGTTTGCAATCATGACACAGAATGGACCAGCATTCTTAACAATATTCTCCAATGTTATAAATGCCATATTATACGTATATATGACAGATACATTGATTATTATATATTCAAATATAATACTGTAAAGGAAAACTGTGTTCACACCTTTAAGCCTTTTCTTCCTGATTCTTTCCTGAGAAGAGATCAGTCGGAGCAAACACTTTAAAGGCACACTATGCAACATTTTTCAGTTAATTAATGTGTTCCATAACGTTATGGATGATTAAATGATTCATTTCAGGTTGAACAAAGGTATTCTCGGCCGCCCTGGTGGTCTGTGGGGGAAATACTGCACTTGCAATTGCAGGAGCACCGACCCGCACCCACAGGCTCAGAAGTCTCGTAAGAGTCAGTCTTGCTTTACCCCCAGTTAAAAGCATTCTCGTTGCTAGCACAGTGGCGATCTTTGTGCAGTTATGCTACGTTCACATCGGACGCAGCAAAAGCAGCAAAATCGCGTCTGCTGCTTCATTTTTGCTGCTTGTACCAGTTAGTTCTGACGCGCGGCTGAAGCAGCTTTGCTGCTCTGGCTGCGCGGTGCAAAAGTGTGTCTGA